GCCTTTCCAGGCTCTTTCCGGAGGCTGCAGCTTAGGCAGGCAGTTGAGCCCAGGACCCCTACAGTTGAGGCCCTGGGCGTGAGCCATCAGAGGCCGACACATCACAGAACAGCCGCAGGCAAATGATAATGCAGGATCTTCCTCACACACTAGCCACGAGCCAATGGGATCGCAGCAAACTTGTGGAGGCCCAAGGAAAGCCTGGCCGTGCCCAACTGTAAAGGGCCCAGACCCATAACTGTAACTGGACCTGGGTGCAGATACGAGGGCCCGACTGGAAGCTCCTGGATGCTCTTTCAGCCAGGCCAAGAGGCAGCAGAGGTTGAGCTCACTTTCCAGATAGGGAAGTGAGCATCACTGGGGAGATCATTCTGGCCTAGGCAAGCAATGCGGCCACGCTGCTGTGTTGCAACTTCGTGATCTGCACGAAGCTGCTGGCTGGGTTGCTCGCACGGGCACTGGGGTGAGGTGCACTGCTGGGCAGTGGGCGCACGGCAGCCATAGCCGGGCTGCTGGGCGCAGGTCTGGATGGCGATGGTGGTCCTTGGGCGTCGGGGGATGCACACTGTGCGGAAGTCAAGGGTTGATGTGAGAGGAGAGAGAATGTACATGGTGTATGCTGGCGGCCTGCATTGAGGTTGACGTCATGTACATTGGTCTCTGTCGTTGAGGTGAGCCTGTTGCACGAATGTAGATAGGCTAAATAGGATGAGTAGAGTAGGCTGGGCGCCGGGCGCCGGGCGCCAGACAGTAGGAGCGGCATTGAATACTGCGTTGGTGTGGCCTGAGGGCTTGGACATTGGCTCACGAGCTCATTGTTTTGCTCTTATTCGGATGGAATCTTGGTGCATTTGAGCTCTCTGCTTGTTACATGACTATCTGGACTTCTTCGTGATTTTGCAACTTGGTTTTCTGTTTATCGTTGTTTCTCATGTTCCTTGCACAAATCTCAATCAGTCAATCAATGAACAATCAATCAATCAATCAACGAACCAAATCCCAATCAATCAATCAATCAATATATATATATATATATATATATATATATATATATATATATATATGACGATATATATGTATATATATATATTTTCACCCCGAGAACTGCAGGGCATACCTCCATTCCAGTTTCTAGTTGTTACAACATCAAAGATCAAGAGCCCATGCCATGTGTCACGATCTTGTAAGCTTGTAGCTAATCACGTGAATGGAAAGAATTGTCAATATATATATTAGGGGAATGGAAACAAGTATCAAACCTATCTTGCCCAATGGTACGCTCTCTCACAAACAACAGACCATGAGTTGGGCTTCCTTTTTTTTTGCTATCCCCATCTGACACCACACTGTAAATATGACACCCGGCCGGACACCACGGCGGCCGGGGTACTTTCATTGCCCTTTTAAAAGCCGGAGATGGAACGGAACAGCGTGAGAGAAACACAGAGGATAGATGCCTGTGTCTGGCAGGCTTCTTTCTTTCTTCTTTCTTTTGTTCCCCTTTTGTTAAGGAGGTAGCCCCTCATGTTATTCAACCAATCTGATTCCATCATGATTCAAACTCATGGTCTGTTGTTTGTGAGAGAGCGTACCATTGGGCAAATAGACATTTCGAAGTAGGCGCCTGATTTCTTTGCCTGGCGACGGGCGTGCTGTTTATGTCTTCACGAACTCAAAACCTGCCACGTCCGCGGTTGTTTCAAAACCAAATGGCGGATCAAGAGAACAATGTGCCAAATAGCTAGACTAGAGAACAATGTGCCAAATAGCTAGACTAAGTTCATTGGGAGGGTGAGGATAAGAGGAAGCTGGAATGGTTAGGGATCGAACACACAATGACCGTCAACTGTGGTTGCACCTGGGAGGATAGGCTGGAAGCCTGGAAGGTTTGTAGCTGGAGACTGGGTACCATTCAGAGTCTCCCCCCCAAGAAAAGCCTACCTTTTAGACAAAAAACGAAAAAGAACAGAAAGAGAAAGTGGTGTGTGTGTGTGTGTGTGTGTGTGTGTGTGTGTGTGTGTGTGTGTGTGTGTGTGAGAGAGAGAGAGAGAGAGAATGTCTAATGTGTACACTGCCATGGATGGTGTATCATGGTCAGGAGCAGAGATGGTGTACGTGGTATCTTCCAGGATGAAGCGTCAAGTGGAATGGTATCTTGTATTGGAAAAGTGTGAGGAAGCTATGGGTTATGCTATTATGACCATTTTTATGACGGTCTTGGGAGGTTTTGGACAGGACATGACCTTCAAAGTGTTCTGGATCTTTTCTGGGACTGTCTTGACGGAACTTGCGTCGAAGATTCTTCGCCGTTCTATATACAAATATTATTTTGAGAGCATCCCCTGCTTGCAAGTGTCTACCTCCCAGCGAACCTCAGAGAGATTCAAGTTTGGGTCCATTGAAATCCTTGAGGGCAGATTTCGGGTTAACTTCCGCTATGTCTTTTTCACTGCCCTTGCCCGTCTCATGGTTTTGGTGGCTCAGTTGTTCCTTGTAGTGGGTATCTGGAGGGAGCGGAGAGCAGTCCATCATTCGAGGCATGACCCCGAGAGTGCTGATTCGCGAGGAGCACACCGTCTGATGGAGTGTTTGACGCCATGTTTCTCATCCCTCGTTGCGCACAGTGTGCTTGGGTTTCTTCTCATTTTTTCCCCTCTCTTGTGCCGCATCCTCACCTCCTTTTTGTCAGCTCTCCGATGCCTCACTGGTATCAGAACTTCAAGGTCCAGACGCACTGATCCGTGCGGGTCAGGGTGGGGTGATACTTGTTCCTTCTGCTCATGGCCTTGGGGCACCGCACCTGGCAATGACGACGGGCAAGGACACGGGCAGCCTAGACTGAGATTGATAATTGCCAAGCTCCAGGGGCTCGCTATTGAACGGCTGGATCGTGCACAGATCGAGATGGAGATGGGTGTGACATGGTATGTGCATTACAGTCGCCATGGGCATTTTACGGAAGAGCAAGCTCAGAAAATGGGAGACCAGTGCGGGCTGCCCGGGTTCTGGTTCCTAGGGCCGGACAAGCTGGTGGAGATGGTGCAATCACATATGCATGAAGTTGTAGACGAGGATAGACATGCGGCCTCGGCCCAACGTAGGAGCTCATCGGGGAAGCAACTCAGTATGGGGCTGCAGTCTCTAGAGATGATGTCCAGACCTCAGATGGCGTGTACTTGCACCGGTTCTGTACACGATACGACACCCAGTTGCATGCAGGACCTGCCACACGCTAGCCGCTGCAGATTCGATGTCGACGCATGTCGGGACTTCGCACGAGCCGAAGGTTTCATTGCGATGTTGCAGGTTCTGCAATCTTCTGTTCCTGATTCGAATGACGTGGCACTCGCTGCTTCCATTGTGTCAGGATTTGCCGTAGGTCTTGCAGTTACCTCCTGGCAGCCTTGTGACGATCCAACAAACGAGAACTACATCCAGAAGATGCTTGAAGACGAGGATTTCAGGTGTTGCTCAGTTGACTTGCTGAAATGCCTGTTTTCTCGTCTGAGACACACTGGACCCAAACGCGTTAAGAACAGAATTGAGGAAGCTGCTGCTTCTGCCATTTGCTCATTTGCACGTGCAGCACGCGACATCTCAGCGCACGCCGAATACAGCCGGCTTTACCAACCACGTCCTGTAGATGGACCACTGGTCATACGACTTGCCAATTCTTTCACGACCTTGTGCCCGGAAGGTTGGGTTTTGGCCTCACAAGTCCCTGACTTCCAGAGAGCAGAGGAAGTGTGGGTCTCTGCTGTGAAGTCCGTCTTATGCAGGCAGGAAAACCTCGACACTCTGATTGAATGTGCGAGAACGCCGACAACTTCGACAAGCAACCGTAAACAAGGAAGGACAGTAATTGCCGATTGTATCCGAACACTTTCATGGCTCTACTCAAGACCAATGATCACATGGAACCGTTTCGACAAAAGACATAGCCGGCAAGCGGGAGAAGGTGGTTCGCAGGCAAACGACGTCCCGGACCTGTCCCCCTTTGCTTCCATTGCTGGTATTGAAATTGCAGACAGACTGCTGTCACTAACCCAACATGCGAGCAGAGACGATTACGCAAAGTCGTCTCTCTCACCTTTCTCCAAGCTGCATTTGGCGAAGATTATCGTCTCCCAGCGTATGCTGCACACGCAGGACGGCTTTTCAGCAGCTGCAGAGCTGACGCTCCAAGTTCTGGCGTACTGGCGATGCGCTCTGGGGTCCAAAGAGATCTGTTGGTTGGCCTGCGAAGCTGTCGAGACTCTGCATGATCTGTTTGACTTTCCGGATTTCCGATTGCAACTGATTGAGAAAATCAGGCAATCTCCACATCTGCTTGAATGCCTGGTCTTGATGCTTTACCATAAGGTCAGTGTCATTCGAGCTGTCCGATTTTCAGAGGGTGCATTATCACAGGACTTCAGCAAATTCTGCGAAAAAATCCTTACGAATTTACAGAATCCCCTCAGGAGGGATCAAGAAGGAGGCATCCACGTGTGGAGTGCAAAAAATGAGGTAACATTCAACGCCTGGCCGACTTCTGCATCTGGACTTCTATGGAAGATGTATTCAGAGAATGATTCCGCTGACATCATGCCAAGGAGCCAAGTGTTTGTCACCGTGTTGCTGACGTCCCTGGCGTGGATCATGGTCACTGGAGCTAAGCAGAGTCGCCATCGCCAGGGACCTCGGGCAGGCTCCCCATGTAAACTTGTTGAACGTTTAATGGCCCTGTGTGCACTTTCCGTGGAGTCCTTATGCAATCCAGCTTGGCGACCGGGGACTAGATGCTGCCACCTGGATGTCTGCTATCTGGATTGGGATGAAGGATGCTCGCTGGACAGACTGCAGGCAAACGTGAATGCTCTTCTGGCAGCACGTGATGCAACAAGGATCATGCATTACTTGATTAAAACGTATGGAGCAATGGAAGCCATCCAGGTTCATCTGATAACTACCTGCTTTTCCCCACTGGTGATGTTGCTCACTGGCCCTCCTCTCGCGTTCGAACCGAATCTGGGGTTAGAGAAACTGGAAGAGAACTGCCAGATGGATATAAGGGACCATGCTGCACAGTCGGTGATCAAGATTATTTGTACTAGTAGGGTAATCCAAACTCTTAGAGGACGTGGCCAGGAAGACCCTCCGCAGGTGGGAGACGCTGACCATGATGATAAACTGCAGTTGGTGAGAAAGGGGATTCACAAGCTCAGGGACTGGCTTGCAAGACGGCCAGGTGAAAGGACTGAAATAGAAGAAGAACTCCATGGACATGTACAGAATTTAAATGTGCAATCGGCAGCAACCAATGCTTCACAGCAATCTGCTGATGCAGGACGAGGGCAAAGCTTCGCCCGGAGTTTTAGATGTTCGGGTTGGATTTCATCTCAGGTTGTCCTCCGGCGATGAGCTGAGGCCCTGAGGGTATCTTATGCCTAGCCATTGTACCCACTAGGCCCTAGCAGTAGGGGTTCCAGCACTGTGACATGACATCCAATCATTTTGCTTCAAGGGGTCTTTTCCTTCTCCCTCAAAGGTCATTGAAGGAAGACCAAAAGAGAAAGAAGGGTACCCGAATACGAAGTAGACAATATGTCCCTCACCCACTTGCACACCCTTGGCCCTTGGGTTCCCCTCATCAAGCTTATCCCGTTTGGATCATTGCCACATTGGCAGGCGCAGTTGTGGCTGTACCCTCACCACATGGCCTTTTTCTCAGACTGTGCATGCATGTTATTCTAAGCTTTCAAAATTTCTTGCTATTGATTCTCTCTGTGTAAGGGACGCTGGACCCGTTTTCCAGCAGGTGACGCTCCCCACCAATAGACGGAGCCTTCCCCCGGGTGCTAGTGTTGCCTGCTCTTACCAGCAGCACTAGCACTGCAGGGGGGTGTTTGTTTAAAATAATAATAATAATAATAATAATAATAATAATAATAATAATAATAATAAAATTCTAAGCTTTCAAAAGGGAATCAAAAGGGATCATGCCTGCTAATCTTCTTTGTATCTCAGATGCTACCGTTCTCTTTTTGACAACGGGATCATTAGCCCCTGAGAATTTTGTACACATCAGAATCTGATCAGATCGATTTTTTTTTTTTTTTTTTAAGCTATAGATCGATTTAGATGTTCCCGTTTTCTTTTGAAATTCAACATTACGTCTCAAGCTTTACTCCTAGTATTCCTAAATCCTGAACTATTACCTTATTTACATACTAAATTTGTGATCTTAAAAACTAACCACGTGTAATCCTTAATTCCTCAAGTTCTTCTTAGCAAAATTTCGCACATGGGATATTAACAGACATCAACGGTGCGCAACTCATGTGTAATTCATGTATTCAAGGGACGCTGGCCCCGGTTTCCAGCAGGTGATGGTCCCCAACAGGAGATGTAGCGGCTACCATTAAAAAAAAAAAAAAAAAAAAAAAAATCCTTACGTGTTCGAAGTTTTGGGTGTCATTGTAATTACGGTGGGCAGGAGCAGATTATAGAATTATGCACGTAGTAGGGTTGAGGAAGAGAGCAATATCCTGCAGGGGCTTCACATGGTGGGTGGTGGAAGTCCTGGAGGGGGAAGGGGCACATTTTGGGGGTTGCGTTATTCTGGGGCTGGGGTTGAGTCCTAACTGTCCTATGAGTCCCCCCAAGCTATGGTTGCTGCAGTCACGACCACGGCTTGCAGTCATGGCCGGCATTGGCTGCAACCTGGCGGTCATGACTGCAGCGGCAGCAACTTTCGCCGGCGCATGGCAGCCAAAGGAGGGGGCGGAGGGGGAGTCTCGGGGGATGGTTCCGGAACCCCGACACTACCCCTTAGAGACAAGAAAGGTATAAAAAATCGAATGGGGGGGGCGTGGGTGTTTGTGGGTGAAAAACAATAAAAATAAATAGAACATAAAAATCTTGATTGATTGCTTTTGTGTGTTTGATTGATTGATTCATTGATTTTTTCAATTGATTGATTGATTGATTGATTGGTCGGGGAGGGGTCGCCTCCACCGGCACACACACACACACACACACACACACACACACACACACACACACACAGTCTTTTTTTTATTTTTTTATCAATCAGTCAATCAGTCAATCAGTCAATCAGTATGTGTGCGTGGCAAAAACGAAAAGAAAAAACAAAAAAAAGAAATAAAACGTTTATGCATTTTGTGTTTTTTTTTTTTAATCTTTTCGCCCTTTTATCTTTGCATCTTTCCATTAAAAAAAAAAAAAAAAGCATTTACAACATGTTTATCGCACCAGCAACCACAAAAAAATGAAAAAATAATTTAAATAAATAAATAGGAAATTTTGCTTTTCTAAGTTTCTTTTGATCATAATCCTTTTTTTTTGGCTTTCTATTTTTTTAATTAAAAATAAAACAGAATGTTAAAATCCAAAAAAGAAAATGTGGGGTTGTAGGGCTTTTCAAACCCTACAATCCCTTTTTTCTTTGTGTGTGTGTGCATCTATTGTTTTTTTTTTTTTTTCTTTAAAAATTTGGACCATTTCTCGATTTATGTGTGTCATCCTTGCACAGGGGCCATGCTAATCTTCTCTGTATCGTTCCAATTTTAACGGATGTCCCGAAGGACCATCTATTGTTTTTCCTTTTTTCAATATGACAAATTCTCGGCCACGACAGACGCCCGCGGCCGAGGCCTGCCGTGAGGATCCCGTCCGCAGGCCGAGTTTGACCCCGCTGTCATGACGACGGGGGATACATAGGCTGAGTCGTGGGTCGTTATTCAACGCCAGTGGGGGCCAATTGCGGCGAGGGGTTGGCAGGCGCATAGTACTTTAGGAGGGACCAGGTTGCCCTTGAGGGAGTAGGGGGTAGTTCCGGTAGGGAGTAGGTCTGTCCCACACTGGGGCCAAGGAAGGTGGCTCTCCTGGGAGCAGCATGGGGATATGGTGAGAGGGAGAGGGGAAAAGGAATTTCAATGCTCTGTGTCCTTTGGCTCATCAACGTCATCAATTATTCAGGCCTTCTACTAGTTTAGGAATAGGGCAGACTTAGCGGCTCATCTGGCAATCCAACTATGGCTGTTGTATTCTGTGGCCCGCGGATGTTTGATGCTGAAGCAACGCTGGCCGGATCCAGGGCAAGCTGGCGCAACCCTGTAATCCAGCCTATTGGGTGTGTGAGGCCTGGTAGAGAGATCTGGGGGACTGTTTTTTGCCATTTTTGGGGGCCAGCTCCAGCGACCCACAGGGGCGTCGGGGGGTCAAAGCCCGAGGCAGGTGGTGCAACTCTGTAACCCAGCCTTTTGGGGGTGCAAGGCCTGGTAGAGAGATCTGTTTTTTGCTTAAATATGGCTGCGTTTGTAGAAGTATCACTTGGAATTGGGTGGGTGCTCACGTCTTTCAAGAACTCTCGAAAGGAATTATCACTGCACGAGCAGAACTGAAGGCTGGGTGACCTTGGTGGCATTTGGCGGCTTGCCTGATGTCACGCTCTGCTGTCACGACTTTGTTTACAGAGGGCCAATGCCGGAATGATGCTGGCCGGCAGTGCGATCCAGCCGCACTGCCCTGTAGCTGTGCAATGCAACCTAGGTCGGACCATGAGGGGCGGTAGAGAGATTTGGGGAATTGTCGAAGGAGGAAGGCCATTCCAGTGGCCATCTGTGAGCTACCAGCTTGGCAACGCTGGGCCGCTGGCTGGAGCTGGGGTGGATCCTGGTAGCTTTGGTGGGGCAAGAGGCCTGGTTACCCCTGGTAGAGTCCTGGTCGGAGAACATGAGGATGAGTGTTGCGGCACTGCCAGGTGTTTGAAGGCTTACTAGACAGCACTGGGTAGCTTGGTTTCGGATCGCTTGGCTCCACGATAGTCTCAGTTATCCTTAGGGGTTTCATACCTGAAGGGTTTTTTTTCCTAAGACGAAGTCGGGTACTGGCCCTGGCAGTGTAATTCCTAAGATTTGGTTTTCTCAGCATGGTCGTGTAATGGCCTTGGTAACTCAAATTGTTCTGTAAAAATCTCATATGGGACTCTGGGCCCGCTTCCCGCTGTTCCCAGCACGTGCTGCTCCGCACTAATAGATTGGAGCATTGTTTGTTTGTTTGTTTTGTTTAAAGACAAAGGATTTCGTCCATAATCTCTTTATCAACATCTACTTTCATTTGCCATTCAGCAACATTGCAAGTACACACACAGTGTCGCGCACACACACACACACACACCAAAAGAACTGTCCTGTTGTAGATGAATGTCACCTTCCACTGCTTCCAGCCTTCCACTCTCTCTCTCTCTCTCTCTCTCTCTCTCTCTCTCTCTCTCTCTCTCTCTCTCTCTCTCTCTCTCTCTCTCTCTCTCTCTCTCTCTCTCTCTCTCTCTCTCTCTCTCTCTCTCTCTCTCTCTCTCTCTCTCTCTCTCTCTCTTGTGTTGTCAGTGTCTAAGTGCAGCACCTTTGAGATAGGCCAAATAATCCGTGACACTGTCCGTTTGTAAGAATTGCCCGGAACACTACGAAGGCTGCAAGTAAAGCGATCAGTGTGAGGCTGGGGTCCTACCGTCCTGGGGATAAATGTGTCTCCATGTCCCCTCACCCTAACACTGGCTAACAGACCTCCGTCAAAGTGATCCCTGCCTTTCGAGTCCCCTTATTTGTGTCAATTTGTTGTATGTAGTATGTACTATGTAGACATTCTAGAGTTGCACTTGTGGAAGTGACTTTCTGCTTTGCTCTATGTGGTAGGTTACTACACGTGGACTCCTTGTCAGCAACTCAGCGCAACCAGGGAGCTCCATGCCCTGTGCGCCCTGCATTGCCTCGCTGTGCATCTGGCTGATTGGCAGTGCTTGCGTCCTGCTTTGTGACTGAGTTGAACTGAGTTCTCAATGGCTACTTGGCCATTGTGTTTTGTTTTCTTTTGAAATACATCCCCCCCTCCCCCCCCTCCCCCCCCCTCTGGGGTGCTAGCGGTGCTGATGAAAGCAGACGCCACGAGTACTCGGGGGGAGGCTCCATCTATTGGTGGGGAGCGTCACCTGCTGAATAACGGGTTCAGTGTCCCATACACAGAATGTATCAAGAATTTCTCTGAGGAAATCCTGCCAGCATTGACTACTGTGGATTCCAGAGGATTGACTGTGCAGGCTATTGGCATGGGGAACCTCTTCACGCTGTTTCAGCTTTGCGCTTTGCCTTTGTGCCCACACTCACCCCACCTTCCTTCCCCCGCTGTCCACCCTCCCTTTGCTTTACTACTGCCTTCTCAGAGTCTGCCTTCCTCGTCCAGTTGTGCCCTGCCTGGCTCTACACTTACGGCAGGGGTAGAGTAGATAGTCTCTCAAAGCATCAATATCGGTATTCTGCAGACTGTTCAGGACTCAGTCTCCTCAGTCTCCGCGACTCTCGGGATGTGTCGGTGGGTGTCATACAAAAAGTTTCATCACTATCCTAAGCTTGTCCTTCTCCGCTCTTCGTTTTCTGTTCATGATCTGAGTCATGGTATGATGGTATCCAAGTTCTACTTGACTCC